TATGCTTTCTCCTATCATTAAAAAATAGCAAGCAGCACAGAGGCAAGATGCAAATTCGTATTGAAGCTCATCCGAACTGGAATATAAACACTTCAGTCTCTGAGTCTGCCATGGAAATGTTTCCTCCGTTCGTATCCTGTCACTTCCTTGTTCTCTTGTGGCAAGTGGAGAGCCTGGGACCAAAACTGAGTTGTTGAACCACCAAAACCCACATCTGACGCAGGTGGATCTGTCCTGTTTGAGATTTAAAGACCAAATACAGCTTGGGAATGTAGCTTATTCCCTGTCTTTCTTGTGGTGAGCTGGATGTTAGCTTATCCAATCAGATTCATACTGTTGGTTTTGTTTGTTTGGTTGGTTTTTGGCCAGAAATATCAGCATCTCTTTGGGGTCCTAACTATAGGTTGGTGTTGAATTTTGTGCTTTTTCTCCACCAGCTTGGTTGGTTGGTCACGACATCTCTTCTGTAGGTCCAGGCCCAAGATCACAGCTACCAGAATACGTGTCTCAGGTGTGTAAACAACTGTCGCTGGGCACTTGGCACCTAGGGTTGGAGGTCACATGTTGAAGATTTGACAATGGTTTCATTCAGAGGGAGCTCCAGTTCATGTGTAGGTATTTCCAGTAATAGCATAAGACAAAAACATCACAGTTATATTTTCCTCTACCTATATATTTCTATATACCTTTGGACTGCATACTTTCTAAGAAGCTGTGGTCTATTTCTGAAAGAATCTACATATTACTTGTCCGACAGGAGCGTAAAGTTAATCTCTACTCATGCAGTCTGGCACAAGTCTTCCTACAACCACAGGCAGACAGTTAATATTGCTATCCCTTTAATATTACTTTCTTAGTGGTGCAAGGGACCCCGTTTCCCACACATTTACTCTGGAGGCGGTGGAGGAAGAAGGGATACCATCCAGGGTGTCATCAAGCCGACTGACTGCAGGGGGAGAGAAGGGGCTGTCCCAGGCCTATCCGGAAGTCACCAGGTAGCTGTCTAAGGTACTGAAATCAAACTCCACAGTCAACAGGGACAAAAAAATGACTGCCAAGGGATTCTCAATCTGGTTCTAGCAACTTTCCAAGAAGTAGAATGACTGTATAAAACTGGGGACACATTTTAGTTTTTAAAAGCAGTAAAAGAGTAATAACCTAGTGGTAGCGCAATGACTTCACAGTCTCAGATGGGGTCCTGTGCTCATGACAAGGCCATTTGCTCTGAGAGGAAACACTGATTCCTGATTGAGGGTGCACTGTCTTCAGAATTACATTCTGGAGGAGGAGGAAGGTTCTGGAACTGCGTGCCAATCCCATATTCCTCCCTACGTGCCAATCTTTCAGCCCATCTGATATGTCATAATTACTTTCTGGTAATTATGGACTGCATTCAAATGTAGCAGCAAAGTGTCCTAGCTGGTCAGTCTAGGCTGCTGTTGGTGACAACAGTGATTTCATTTTTTCCCCTCTATTGAATACTTCATAATTAAGAATATTAATTAATATTACCTCCATTTTAAGTACCGAGAGATTGGGGTATGAGATCCAAAGATGTGGATCCAGATTGAGATTTTTATTCGTCGTGAGGTTTGTATCCCTAATTTTGCTCTTTTCCATGAATTATTCACAGAAAATTGCTGAAAATGTAAGGAGGAAGTCCTCAAATATCATGAAGTCATTATTTCTTCAATGACATTCCTTCTTGGCCTCTAATAATCACAAGAACTTGAACTTGCTCAGCATTTTAGAACTTATTCTCCTGTGCAGTCTACAGCTCCTAATTTCTGAGGTTGTCAGACCACTGGAGCCTGCTGAGGTCAGACGGTCAGTGGCGACTCAGGGTTGGCCCCCTCTTGTTCTTTTGGATTGCATTAAGCATTTCTATAGATATGATGTCATGAAGTTATATATTTTGAAGATGGCAAGAACAGCTCATAAACACTATGACAATTTATTGATGATGATCATATAGGTATGTGGCCTTTAATCCAAAGTTGCAGATTTTTATTTGGACTTCAATCTAAGGAGGAGTGAGCTTCTAGTCTGGTATAATTTACCAACTGATGCCATGTCCTCAAATTCCACTGAGACTAGTGGCTTAAAGTATCACAGTACATCCCTGACGTTACAGTACATGAAGCTATAATATGGCTTAAGCGATGAGAGGGTGGCTCTGTATTTCTAATTCAAGTGTGTAGGTGGCTTGGGGAATATTAGGGTGCTTTGACCTGCCACTGTATCATCAGAAGGATTATAGGACGGGCTCTGCCACTGGGCCAGCCTTCTAAAAGTAGGCAGAATTAAGACAGTTAACTTTTGGAGTGAAGTTACCATAATTAATAGTTTTTACATGTAGCCCATTGGGAATTTTTGCTTGTTTGGGGGAAGGGTCTTGGTCTTTTTTCCCTTTTTTTTGGGGGGGGTACCAGGAATCCAGCTTAACCTTGCTGGGCAGAGCTTCATGCTTGCTAGGCAAGTGAGCTAAGTTACACCCCCAGTCCATTCTGAGTAGATAATTAAACCTCCTCCACTACCAAACTTGCAAATAAGCTACAAAAAGGCATGGCATTAGAATCCTATCTCCTTACCTTCTGACTGTGATGCTGAGGCCAAAAGATATAGGAAGAAAATCCAGGTGAGCTACACCCAGGATAATCAATACCTAGGTCATTAAGGGTTGATTGTATTTGCAAGAGAACTGTAACTTCCCCACATAAAGCTGAAATACTAGTACAGAGAAATAGCATCCCATTTACCATTACAGAATCAACATGCAGATTCGGTCACTTATTTTTGTTGAAGAGTGAGTATTCTTTTGCCAATGATTAAAAACCATTCATAGCTATTGCACTACCAATAGGTCACGTCATGCTACAAATGCCCATGTGTCTCTATGATGCCAGTGGCTACTGCTACTGGAAATAACCCCAACTCCTGCACTGCTGTTGCTAACTTGGTCTTCAGTGTTCATCTAGTGAGAGCATCAGTAATGGGCTAAAGAATTATCCACAGACCATGCTGGATAAATGACAGTCTGTGCACACTGTAGGGCAGGAGGAGTGGTGGGAGAATCTTTGATTTTATTTATTTATTTTGTCTTTTTTGAGACAGGGTTCTGCTATGCAGTTCAGGCTGGCCTTTAACTCACTTGGCTGTCCTCAAACTCATAGCAAAACTCCTGCCTTGGCCTCCTGAGTGCTGGGATTACAGGCATGTGCCACCATGCCTGCTTGGAGGCGGAATCTTGCATGCCATTAATTGAAATGAAGACTAAATCCCTATGTGTGCATATGCCCATGGCCACACCCATGCATAGGTGGGAGTGCACACATAGCACAGGGTACAGCAGAATGGAAGAGGTGAGCTGGTGTCAGCGGCTGAGGGCGGATGTTGAATGATCAGGACTGGCATACTCAGGCGGACCAAGCAGGGGGCTCTGCGAAATGGAACAATGCCACAAGGAAACTGTATGAGTATTTCATCTGTTTACACATCTGCTCACACATAAGCACCATTCACAGAAAGAAAAGGAATAAAAGGAGGGGGGACTCTTTCAGATAATTAATAGTTAAAAGAACAAGCACAAAAATAAAAAGCCAACAGCAGGTGTGGCATCTCTAGTATGCAAAAGACAAAAACGAAAACAACTAATGAAAATGCTCTGGGGAGTCTTCAAAAGTAAAACATTAAGAAGATTAAAACAACAGCAGCAGTGGGCTGGGATGCAGCTCAGTGGTAGAGTTCCTGCCTAGCATGTGTGAGGCTCCAGCTTCCATTCCCAGCACTTCCAAATGAGCAAAAGACACAAAACAAAACGAAAGCAATAGCAAACAGCAACACTCAAAGAAGAGATTCTCAAGAGACCAGATCTTCCTGGAAGAGAGGCCTTCATTCTAAGTAGTGGTTGTCTACCTTGCAGGCCAACAATTCCGCCTCATCCCTAGAAGACCAGCCCCAGTGCTGTGGAGGAAAAGGCCAGTGCGGCAAGGCAACACCTTGAGAATTCTCGCGATGTTTTGTTACAAAGCTAAACCCAGGATGACAACCTTATGCAAATAACACCCTTTGTATTACCCTAAACAGATGAAATATTCCATACAACATCGTTTACTTTCCCAGAAGCGGAGGTCAAAGACCTCAGAATGTGGAAAGTGATGACTAACATGATGAGTTTCGCATCACAAATGCAATGCGTGGTCAGATTATGGAGCAATGAGATTTTCAGTGCCTGTCGCTATGCTCTGCCTTGATGTTTTCAGAGTCTCCTGGAGTTTGAGACATATGGGAATAATTTTTGCACCAAGATTAACATGGCATAGTAGGAACAGGCTGTGGATCTCTTTCCTCTTATCTTACCCACAATGTTCCCTTTGGGGTTCTTTGTGTTTTCACGAGATTTCTCTTTGAGGTGACTTCAGATCAGGCAGAAGGGACCGTGCAGGCCACTCTATCCTTCTCCTAGTTCAGCAGCTCGCCAGGGAATACTTGCCCCTTTTGCACTCCTAATGTCTAGACCCTGAAGCCTGTCATTGGGTGAATACAGCTCAGCAAATCCCAGACAAAACTTCCATTCCTGGATGTGTCATTGGGTCGCTTCTGTGTGCATGCTTCTGTCCCCCTCCCTCGCACACATATACCTGGGCATGTGGTCCATCAAAACGCAGCTTGTTTGGATGTAAGAAGAAAACTCTGCAAGAGCTGTTATTTTTAGAAGCCTGCTTATCCCTCCAGAATGCCAACAATTTTAGCTCAGCATCCACTTCAAATCACACACGGTGCGTATCCAGGGCAAAGCAACCTGCACTGTGTTGGAAGGGACCTGCATCTTCCATGCAGCTCAGAAGGTGGCTGTTACCAGTTAAGTACCAGAACCAAGTGCATCCCACATTCAGATTCAAACCAACTCGACCCACATTAGAGACTGCCTACTGTGTGCAGGAAAAGGCACCAGGTCCCACTGTATCCAACTGAGCTCAAACAAGGAAGGACTTACTGTATCCAACTGAGCTCAAACAAGGAAGAACCTAGCTGGATGCACACGTGGATGTGCTTGCACACACTTGCAAACGCACAGGTTTATGAGGGTATTAACATAGGATGGGAAATCTGGCTTTTTTTTTTTTTTTCCAGTCTAAATTGGATATGTCTGTTTTGGCAAGTTGTGGGCAGCTCTCTTACTTTTGTCACCCAGAGGCTTCCTTAGACAACAAGAAAGAAGAAAAGTGTGCTGAGGTGCCCCAGCCTGACCCCACCCTCTCCCAGCACCCCTCTTCTGGGCTGGCCCCACAGCTGGCTGCCTCAGTACATCCCCTCCCCACCCCCATGTGAAGACCTGAGATTGAGCGTGGATTTCTGTTCTCCACCAACTGTGCAGCAAGGGCCCTGCCAGAGGCGTCACTTCATGTCATGTCCTCTTCCCGCTCCCAAGTAGAGGCACCTAAACAGAGATTAGATTTCTGGTTTCAAGGCATCTCGAACCAAGCACGCCAAATGAACGTGAGTTAGCTAATTCGCTGGGTCTCGCTTCTCTCCAGTCCCTGGTCTAAGAGTTCCATGGTGGCAAAACGACCAGGAGAGAGTTGATTTGCATCTTAAGACCTATGGGTAATGCTTCTGGAGTGGGGAGTTTTATTTAGCAACTGCTTGAACTTGTGTACGGGGTCGGGAAGGAGGTGGAGCTGACCCCGATCGGGCTGTCAGAGACGGGGGCGTGGGTGGTCCCCACAGCCACGCTCACACCTCGGGCCTCTAGGATGGCAGTCAGGAGCTGCTGCTGCTGTTGGCGGAGGGTGTCTGCGATGAGCAGGGGCAGGGAGTTGAAGCTGGCTGTGAGGTGCTCCAGCTTGGACTCCAGGCTGCCAATCTGTTTCTCCAGGTCCTCGCTGCGATCGTTGAGTTCTGTGATTAGGTCGTACATGACATTCTGCATCTGTGTGGAGAGAAGGGAAGAGACGTAATCAGAGGGGTCTGCCACGGGAGACAGGAAGCTCCTGCTCTTCATAGCTGGAGTGACTTCACCCCCGCTGGGTCGGACCAGGAGAGAGGCGTGGGTTACTTAGGGAGGCACATTGTTTGCATTAGTACAAAAGTAATGAATGTTAATTATACATTTTAATAGGAAATATGTATTTAGGGGAAAATGGCACCTTTTTGTTAAAAGAGGTGAGCTCTAACCTGTATTCTTGGAGAGACCTGAGCTTTCAGGTTACATGGCCTTTAACGACTAACAAGAGAATGCTGAGGTGCAAAAGGCTACCTCTGCAGACTTAGAATTAGTACCTGGGGTTCAGGGTGGAAGTCCACAGCTCATTATTAATGCGCCCTCTAAGGCTCTGGCCACTTTGCTTCCTATCAAAGTGGAATTAATAAGAACTACATCGATTATGACTTATGCCACGCAACCCCGCCAGTCTCAACACAACAGCCAGAATGTAAAATGTCATTACCTCCTGAGGAAGGGTCCTCCACTGCAGTGAGGTATCCTGCTGAGGTCCAGCCCTTCCCCTTCCTGACCCAAGTGGCCACAGTTTGGGACATCCCCAAAGGATCCTTCCATGTGGCTGAGGACCTGGTTGACCGTACTATAGTTCACTCTCCTCAGACCAGTTCTGCTTCCCACACTCCTGATAGGTGCTGTCTGTGGGGGCACCCCAATTGCCTTCTTGCACTGAACACCACCTCATGTTGGCAGAGGTCCCACCTTTTGCCAGCGCTCTGTGCCTAGACATCTTCAGAATCCTAGTCTATGCGATAGCCTTATATCTCCCAGTGAATTAGCAAATGCTATTCTAGCTCTGAACCTCTAACTCGGGAGACAGATTCACAGGAGTCTTCACACTCCCAGGTGTTCAGGAATGAGGCTCCCCTGGCAACAACGCAGACAGCCAGGCTGGCAGTTGATGTCTCTCCACCTAGAGATACTTGGGAGCTCTGGCCTTTAGGGGATCTGCCAGTGACACCCCGATCCTACTTCACCTGAAATATCAGGTTACTCTAGCAGGAGGTGGAAACCATGGATGCTCCAGAGGTCAAAGGAGCAAGAAATCAAGCGAAGAAAAAAACAGGGGAGTAGAAGGTAGGAGAAAATGAGAAGCCAAAGGGAGATTGGAAGGGTATATTGGACATGTAGCAAAACCTTGCCAACTGGAATTCACTGGGCTGCTCTCCTTTCGGCTCCACCATTGCCAGAGGTGACTTTAGAAGTCAAAGTCTGTCCCTTGTTAATTAACATTCACAGAGCCTCCTTGAGGTGCATACTCTTCCCGGAATGTGTGAGACCACAGGTTCCCCTTTCATAGGGCACCCTGCTGAGTTCTGCGCTTGAGGGCCCAGGACCTGGGTTTAGGCCCCAGCCCTGGTGCCTGCCAACTGCCTGACCTTGAAACAGTCACTCTGCTCCTCTGGATCCTGCTTTCTTCATCTATATTCATAATCAGTATTGCCATTTGCAAAACCTTTAGCGTTTCCAGAGCACTTTTGCAGATATCATCTTATTTGATCACCTGAGCCTCAGATGGTAGGAATTACTTTGACATTTCATTTGAAGAAATTGAAGCAATCAGGTAAAATACCCAAGCCCTCCCAGCTCTGTCACCATATAAAGTAGCTATTCAATCTAGAAAATAATATTTGGAGGCCACGTGCCACATTCTTCATCTGGGAAGGAACGAAGGGCAGGGGTGGGAGGATGGCAGGTTGGGAGGGCAAAACACAAAGAAAGAAAAGGGAGCTAGCACAGTTCTGTTGCCTTCCCCTGTTCCACTGCCTGTGACAGGATGCTGGGGGAACGTGGACCACTGTGAAATATGCTACGCTGTTGCCAGCATCTTGGGCGAGTCTCTTGGGGAAAGAAACAAAGACTAGAGGATGTCAGAGTCACCTCCTCCCCAGGTTTTGTGCCATGTCCCCCACAGTGACTCTGAGAATCTCCCTTTCACAGTTTGCTGCACACTCTTTCTTTCCAGATAACTTGCTCCCCTGGTTATATAGTTGGTTCCTTCGTTCAATTCATAGAGCAATTTTCCAGCTCACTGAGGTTTTTGCCCCACCCAGTTAGCTCTGTTGGGTCCCTTCTCTTTGAGAGGTGGTGGGTGGCACTGCAGAAAGGTAGGCTTGAAAGTGCACATAATATTCCTGGAGGAACATCAGCCACTGTGTGCCTTGCTAGATGGGAGGAAAAGCATTGCTACTCCTAAGAGACATATCTTGAGGAATATCACTGGACTATTCCTGAAGTTCACAGAGCAGGTTCCTAGCCGTGTGGTTCCCCCTCACATCCTCTTCTTGGCCACCGCTGATTGGTCCAAGTGTGGGCACATGATCACATGACCCAAACTGGCCAATCAGTCCACCCCATCTGAGAATTTAGAAACAAGATCAATAAAAGGTGGATGGGAGGGGATGAATGAGAGAGAGAGAGAGAGAGAGAGAGAGAGAGAGAGAGAATAAGAATAAGAATTGAGCTAGGCACTTGACCAGGAGACATGAGAGATGGTGAGAGAGTACCTCCTGTGGTTTCCTAGGTCCTGTTCTACTCAGTCTCTTCCTGAAGTCAGACCACATGTCTGCTCTGATGCTGTGTCTGAAGGAGACTCCCTTATATCCTTAGAATGGGCTTCTCCATGAAACTCCAGGGTTCTCTCCTGTGCACCAGCGTTCCATTCACCTCCAGTCCTGCCTGTATTCCCCCTCATTACCCCATGTGTGGGCACCCAGGCTACCAGGAATCCCACACTCCCCTGAACATCCCCCTCCAAAGCACACAGCCTGTGGGCTTCTCCCCAGCTGTGCTGAGCCACTTAGTCCCTGATTAAAGTCCTCACAGGCCCAGGGGCCGATTTCTGTGGGTTGATCCTGCTATTGAACAAGGCGCCTGCACGTGGCCCAACAACCAGTCATTTCTGATTGCGCTATCTTTTCAAAGGGTGCTTAATTTGCCAGAGGGAGTTTCTCTTGCTTTCCCGGGGAACGGGTTCCATTATGATAATTGGCATCTGCTGGAATGTTCTGCCAGCCTGGCCCTGGGCTGTGCACTTGACCCTCGGGTTCTATCGGAAGCAATGAGAAGGGGGCCTCTGTGCATGGTGCCAGTTCTGTGCTGCCCACAGTGTGGCCTTCACTCCCTTCACCGGAGTCATTTGCAAGAGCAGCAAGTTTAAATGCTTGTGGTGGAGCAGTGCCAGAAACACAGAATGAAAATGTGATAGTGCGCCGTAAGCCCTTGGGCACTCAAAGGAGGCCTCTCTTTTGGGATCTTCATTCTGCCTCTTAAAAAGTAAAGGAAGAAGGGCCAGCCAAACAGCCCAGTGGACTAAAGTGCCTGCTTAGGCAGAGCAAGCACAGCAGCTGGGGTTTGAGCCCCAGCGTGCTGTGCTGGCCCCGCCCCCAGGGTGTACTGAGATGGTGATTGGGCGTGACGGCACACATGCCCGTAATCCCACCTCTTGGGAGGCTGAACACAGGCGGATCACCAGGAGTGCAATATACGTAATGAGACCCTGTAGACTCTGTACTAAAATACAAAATAAATAAATAAATAAATAAATAAATAAATAAATAAATAATAAAATTAGGAAGCAAAGGAGTGTACCACCACCACCCCAACCACCAATTTGGGGCTAGAAAATCAGGGCAATAGAGATTGGAAGATGCAGGAAAATATATTTCCAATTATAGCAGGAAACAGAAAGTGTCTTGTTAGGTGGAATCCAGGCTGTCAGCCCAGCTATTGCCACCATTTGGCCCTCATTAAGGTGCTTTGCCCCCGTGCAGCTCAGCCGGCCCTCAGCAGCTCCTTGGTGCACAGCTAATCAAACCCTTCCCTGAAAAGACTTAGTGGGACAGCTAATTAGTTCCAAGCAAAGACATTCCTGAGCCACTTAGCTTAAGAAACAAATGCCAAGTTTTAAAGGACACACTGTAGACTATAAACATCAAAAACTCAAACCTTCTTTAAACCAAGATTTTTTTTTTTTTTTTTTACCAAGGAGGAGCTGTTCTTCACCTTCCTGGTCCTGCACTGTGCACTGTGGACACAGCCAGGTTTCTGCACGCACAGTGGAGAACTCCAATTCACTGCCCTAGAGTGTCTTCAGACTCTGTCCCTCACCTTGGAAAGGTCCACCAGAGTGTTGGCCTGGTCGCTCAGTTTCCTCTGCTCCATCTTCACACTCCTCAGTCTGCAGAGAAGAGTTGGGACAGCCAAATCCTTCAGGTCCAGGTTAAGGGTTAGCCCCACCGGCAGGCCCTACAGCCCTGTCATTTCTGACTTAGACCTTAGCATGGGACCGGAGCATGAGGAGCAACTGAAAGATGCAAAGGGTTGTCAGGGCCCCGGGGAAGAAAACTCTTGTCTCCACGCATGCTCAGCTTCACTCTATTTACTTGCTATGCTCAGGCCCTTTGTCTGCTTCTTTCCTTTGCTTAGGCTGTGCTTCTGCCATGAACACCCTCTTCTCATCTTCCAGTGTTTTTCCAAACCTCCAGATCAGAATGAATGTTTTCATCTTTTGCTTTTTTACTGTACTTAAAAAAAATTCTATTCCTAGCTGGACATGGCATTGTATGCCTGTAATCCTAGCACTCTAGGAGGCTGAGGCAGGAGAACCACAAGTTCAAGCCCAGCCTTACTGACACCCTGTCTCAATCTCTTTTTTTTGGCAGAACCGGGGATTGAACTCAGGCCCTTGCGCTTGCCAGGGAAGCGCTTATTCTACTGAGCCATCTCCCTAGCCCTCTGTCTCAAATTTTTAAAGAGTAAACAAAGGAGGGGGAGAGCTGGGGATTTAGCTCAGGATGAAGGCCCTGGGTTCAATACCTACCACCACCACACATGCACCCCAAAAATCATATTCTATCACAGAAGGTACTCTTGAGTTGCAGTATATAGGAGCACTGTGTGTGTGTGTGTGTGTGTGTGTGTGTGTGTGTGTATACAAGGCCCCTTGGAGACTTTTGCTCTCATTTTTATCTTTCATAGCAGCCTGCCCTCAGCCTGGAAGGTGCAATAATTAAATAACCAGGCTGTTTTGGGCTCAGTTCCACCCCATCCCCCGCATCCTGTGGGTTGGAATAGAGTGGATTGCTTCTAGGTATTTGAGGAACCCCTTCCCTAGTCTACTCATCTGATGGCCAAGAGGCTTGGATACTCACTGGTGGATAGCTTGGAGGAACTTCCTCTGGTGCTTCCTGACTTTGGCATGGTCAATCTTCTTTAGCAGCTTTGTGTGTTTATAGATTAGCCACGTTTCCCGGAGGACATTGGCTGCAGCATTCTTGATCTAAGGAGTGAAATAAAGCAGGCTGCATCAGGTGCATTCCCCGAGGGCTCCTGTACTGTTTTCCTGTTTGGTGCTGTAGTCTACCTCCTACAAAGACAATTCTGCAGTGATCTATTTTCTTAATCAAGCTCGCGGAACTCTGAGAAGAGATGATTAAAATTTGTCTCTCGTTAATCCTGTACTGGACACAGTAGGCTGGAGCTTGGAGTTGAAAGGCATTTCTTCTTGCCTTCTTAATGATTTCAGCACTGCCTCTCAACTGCTGTTGACAATGCTATATTTAGACAGGCTGCCTTAGCAAGACCTTGAGGCCCGGGGTACCCTCTGAATAGATAAATACATGCCCTCGCCCCTCACAGCAAGAGCACCACACCTCATCTGAGGCGTTCTTTCAATGTATGTGGTACGTTCCTTAGGTTCAGTGAGTAAACGGATCTTATGAGCTGGAGGCTTTAAGAAGCCTCTTTGAGGAAATATCTTTTCCACTAATTGGAACGATAGTACCAAGTCCATTTCTTCCTTTCCAAAATGGCCATAAACATTCACAATGCAACTCTGCATGTAAATGTAATGAGCATAAAACTGAAATAATTTCAAAACACTGTCTAAAAATCAGGGAGGATATTGAGGTGTGAACCGAGAGCTGCCTCTTCCCCAAGGCCGGCTCCTTCAACAGACACTGCAGTCACGCATTTTCACATATGATGCTGTCATCCGTTGGCATGGAAACCACTGATATCACCCTGCTCTCAACTGAGCTGAGACATATCGATGGCATCCAGATGGCAGGGGACAAAGTTTTAATCCAAACACAGACATCTTCAGCAATTAGTAGCGAGAACAAGATAAAACATTCCTTATTAAGCATAAGCTCAACAGATTTTTGATTAACCATCTCCATTTCTGTCAGCTATGCACCCTGGCACAGGTCTGTGAGCCTAGGGCCTGGAAGTAAGAGGCCAGCCTAGTAGAAATCAGGTTACTAGCCAGAAAGGATTTTAATAAAATTGGAGAGCACAGACCTGCCTCTTCAGACTGACATCAACAGATGGGACGTTGTGAAAACGCTGCAGCGTGTGGGAAGGCCTAGGAAACATTGTTTTGCAGCCTGATAACTTTTGTGTGTGTGTTTCAAAATTTATTACTGAGGCTGGATTATATTTTTTCATTGGCGCTGAAGTGATGTTTTTAAAAGAACAGCTAAGTCTTCTCAAAAAATGTCTAAATGACATAAATATTGCTTTTCTTTGTTCAGTAAAAATCCACAGCAAAAATGGTTTTTGATTATTTAATTGCCCACTCTGGTACTTTCCTGCCTGATAGGGAGCAGGCGGTGGAGACAGCAGATGTCAGGCAAGGAGGGGCAAAGCAGGGAAAGGGTGGTCTCTGGGACCCTGCCCAAGCTGGAGGGACAACAGCGCCCAGCCCAGGTTACTGCCATCTCTCTGCAGGGGTGCTGGGTGATATGCTGCGTGATGTCTACAGTTTCCCTAGGTGCTTGGCAACCAGGGAAGCCACCAAGACAAGCAGGAGGGAAAAGCCCTGTTCTGGCCTAAGCCAAGATCAGCAGAGCTCATTTGTGGACTTGCCTCTTTCAATGTTGATAAAGCCATGGAATATCAGAGCCCACAGGCCTTTGACAATGGTCTCATGTCAGGGTGGGACATCTGAAGCAGGCAAGTCAGCAGATTCTGCCAGTTATTGAGCAATTTAGGAGCAGATGCTTAATTATTCATAAGATGGGGGGAAAATTCATCTTTACTATAAGGGCTGCTAAGAGGCCCAAAAGAGACTGTGGCGCTGGTGGTGAGGGCAACAGCTAGCTTTCGCCAAGTGCCAGGCACAAGTCAGGTCCAAGGTTATCCCATGCACCTTCACACCCCACTGTCAAACAGGGCTGACTCTCATCCCCATTTTACAAACAGGGAAACTGAGTCACCCAGTAAGGCCATACAATTATAAGTGGCCAATGGAGTCGGTATGGATTTGACTGTTACAGGAACTATAAAGTGCCCAACGGATACTAGTTATCATGCAACTCAACCCCCCACTCAAAATAGGGAGAAACTGCGTCAGAGATGGGATGTGGGGTTGGAATCACACAGCGAGCCACTGGCCAAGTCAAAACAAGAGCCAGGTTCCAAGAGGTCCAGAAGGTTTTCATGTGGTCTGAAGGAAGATTTGACCAGATTTCATCTTCAGAAACAAAATTGTTTCCTGTTTGGGGGATCAAGGAATTGGAAAGGACATTAGATACGTTTTTGTTGTTTCTGTTTTAAATCATCATGACTCTCACCTAGCAACACAGTAGAACATTGGAATCTGTGTCTCACACTTAATTTCAGCCCAAATGCCAGGTACTGCTTCCACGGCAGCCGGGCCGCTAAGAGGCAGCCACATCATCTTTAGGGGTCTGAACGGCCCGTCCCTTTGCATTCAGAAAAGTGGTGTTAAGTGCAAGCCCTTGCGCTGGCTGAAATTAATTGCCAGCAAACAGCCTGGCACAAAGCTAAGTAGATCAATGTCTGCACGAGAAAAAGAAACAAGCTTTTAGCTGCACTATGCTTTCCCAGGTAGGCAGTAAATGTTATTCTGTCCACTGTGGCTCTCCCTCCAGTTCACCTGGCTGATCACTCTGAGCATTATGGGGGACGAAGGTGCCCACTTGGGGCCTGCTGCACATGCGCTTCCCTGAGGGGGCCTTGGGGGCCGTCTGAACTCTCTTGAGGGAGGAGCCCTGGGCCCAAATGATGTTGCTACCATGTGGGGGTGAGGCAGCTCTTTCCTTAATGGCTTTCTCTGAGACTTCACTGAGACTTATGAATAGACTGAGATAGGGTCTCTCTCTCCCCATGAAATCTGGCAGCTGGACTCAGGGCCACCTGTCAAGGACAGAGGATAGGCCAGGAGCCCTAGGGAGAGGAAGGCAGGCTTCTCAGTGGGCATGTCAAAGGGAGCTTGAACTGCAGCAAGCCAGAATGTTTCCAGCTTCATTTCAATTAAGGGTGTGAAAGAATCTTAGAAGTCCCAGTCCTGCCAGCTTTGAAAATCTGCTCTCTATAAGAACCATTCCTTTTGCATTGTTTATTTCTCTAGGGGGAAAATTAGACATGAAAGGGGCATTTCAACAGATTTTGGTGCTCTCAGCAAAGTGAGAGTTTCTTCGATTAAAAAGGTAACTTGTGCTCATGGATGAACAATAATTTTTTTACAAGTAAGTGGATGTGAAGAAGATTTTGGAGAATTGTTTTTGACAGATTGGAATTAGCGACCACAACCCCATCTCCTTCCACAGTTATGTTGTAGGAAAAAAAAAAAAGTTTATGTTCCTAGTCTATGAAGGAGCTGGCTTTATTTATTTATTTATTTATTTTATTTATTATTATTTATTTATTTTACTTATTTATTATCAGACTCCTGGTGTCTGATTTTCTGATAAAAAAAAAAAGAGAACACAAAGGAATAACATGAAATACAATGTATAATCTTGGTTTTAAAAAGCAAACCAGGAAAAAAACAAACCAAAAACTGACACTGTTCATGTCTCTGGTAAACAACTTCTGAGAAGGTTTTGAAGGCAAAACCTCTTGTCCCTCACTGCTGCAGGCAGTTTGTTCCAGTCCACAGCAGTGCCACCAACCTCTTTCTGGATAACAAGCGCCAGTATTTTTGCATTGAGGCATTCCAGCCACTTCCGGAATTCCTGCAGCTCCAGGCATGACTTTGGTGTGTTTAGTACCAAAGTTGAAGAAGAGAGACCTGTCTGCAGGTTCAGCGTGGAACCCAGCAGGTCTCACCCTGGTGACAACATCGACTGTTGCCATCTTCACGCCTTAACCCATGTTTTCTTTGTAGCTCAGAGGCATGAAGTATCTCAGACAAGCATTTGTATGCCAACAATATAGGGTATTTTCTTGTATCCGTTCCTTTTCACATCAGTGGCAGCTCTTTAAAGAATCCAATAAATGTAATCAAAGACCAAACAATCAAACACCATAAATAATTCTGCTGAGAAACGGGAGAGGCCTTGGCAACTGCACATTCTCCCACTGCCTTCCCCGGGCGCTCGCTCACCACTCTGTCACTCTCTTTTTGTTCTCCCTTCCTGCCTTTGTCTCTATTTCTCACTGCTTTGCAACATTGATCACTGAACATTTCTCTAGCTTTCAAAAACCCAAAATGGAGATGTGGGGTTGCTTCAGGGTCCCTTCCCTACTTGAGTGAGGAAGAGTAAGAATGCAGACTGAGACCCCCTAGCGCAGGGTTTAAGTGGTCTCTGGCTCAGGAAGCATCTGGGAGGACATCCTAGTCCTGACCCGTGTTCAGGCTGTGGCTCTAAAGAATCTTCCATAAATGCTGTCTTTAAACAAACAGCTCCTGCCTAGCTCACTCGGCCTGCTGTTTATTCTCATCTCTGAAATGAAGCTGCTCTGCTGTGACAATTCAGAGGGATGTCAGGTAGTTAGCAGCTAAATGAGCTCCCCGTTCTTGCATATTTTCCATTTCTTAGCTTCCTTAACCACTTTCACAAGGGTACAAGTGAGAGACATTATCCTGAAAACACAAAGGGGGAAAATTGGGATGATGACGTTTTGATGAACAATGATATTTAGGAACATAGGCTCTTCTGGAATGATCGTTTTAAATGATTCTCTTCAAGAAAGGATTAGATTTAGGTGTATTTCTAATACAGTTTTAAGACTCTCTACTGCCCTTCCTAATGGGAATCATGAAAACATTTGAGCACATACAACATGTCGCATCATGCTGGGTGATTTATTTGGCATCATTAGGCAAGGGACGGGCCTTATCACTCTATACTATTAATCTAATTATCAAGAAATGATTTGGTTGTCTGAACTATGCACAGTGATTTAATGGAAGACAGGAGCTCGGTGTGTAGCTATGTGGTGTCCATAGGGTGGAAGCTGTTTGCCTGTGCCTGTGATCCCCTCAATACTTTATCTAAAGGCAAAGCCCTACTCCATACCATGCAACTGTCTTCATCCTGACTGGCTTCCACTTTGGACGTAAGGTCCCCATAGCAGACACAGATTTGTGGCATCTTACCCTTTTGGTGAGTTGAGTGTCCATCATAAAGTTGTGAACATGCTTCTCTGCTTTGGTGAGTTCCAGCTTTCGGGCCACTACAGCCACCACAAGGGCAGTGCAGCCTGCACCCTGTGAGAGGACACCAAAGGACCAGAGGGGAAAGAAAGGACATCAGTAAGAGGCAAGGTGCAAACTCAGTGTGCCCCATGCCATGGTGGGTGACTCTTAGGAGCGGCACAGGGACATAGGTTCTGTGGTTGGTCGAGCCCACGCCACACAGGCTGTCAAAATTTGTTAAACTTGCAGAAGGAGTCTACAATGGCTTGTGCCTCTTGCTAGTTCTCATGCTGTATAGGGTAGAAACATGGGGCCTTAAACCAACAAATAATCACAGGTCCCCTGCCAGGCTGAGTACAGCAGGAGCCAGAGGGCCCAACACAGTCTCTCCCTGCCTCTCCCTGTCCTATACCCACTACCAGCTCTAGCTAGTGCGGCCAGGTGTAAAGTAGGCCAGGGACTAACTGCAGTATGGGCACAGCACCTGTGGTAGATGAGTTTTGCCATGAATAACTGAATGAAGAGGCAACACATTTCCCTCAAAGCTCACCTCCCACAGGGAACACTAGTTGGCACTCAACAACTGCCGGTGCCATAGCCAGATCTTTCTACCTGAAGGTCAAGGCTGTGATATAACAGAGGAATTGGTTCTTTCTTGTTTTCAACAGGGAGGCTTGTGAATTCACCAGCATGCAGGGATTTTAAAGATGATAATGCTTCTGCTTATATTGAGAAATTAAGAGGACCCACAGACCTTTGGGAGCTCCCAGAGTAACAAGGCACAGGTAGTTCCCTTACAGGACAGCATGATACAGGAGGGCAAAAGAGCAGGCTTTGTTTGGCTGGCCCACCAAATGGCTGGGCTCAGGCTCCCTCCTAATCCTTCAGGGCACACTTGGCCATCTGGGACACATGGAATAGAGGAGGGAAAGTGGTCCATGCTAACAGTCTCCATATGGACATGCCCATCCTCTTCCCTGGGCTTCTCAGTTGGCCTGTGAACACTAGGAGAGAGAGACAACCACTCCCCTGATTCTCTTGGGGGTAGTGGCAATCAGCCCTGTCCTTGGCAGGAGAAGGCTCTCTTCTTCCAATACACAGGGACCAACCCTAAAAGTCACTTATGGAAAGAGATGATGAACTCATCAAAGCCAACAGTGGGATCCTCTAGGTGCCAAACAGTTGGTTTTAACACACAGCGTGCAGTGGGGTAGCTTGAGGGTACCATACTGAAGGAATCCATCAATAACACTCTTGATACATCAGACTTACAACAGGGTGCAAGGTGGACAAAAGTCCTTTTTGAAGATGCTGTTATCTACCACAGAGCTGGCAGGGGTAGTTCAGTCTCCTGGACTCTCTTTGATACTCTCTCTCTCTCTTTCTCTCTCTCTCTCCCTTCCTCCTTCCCTCCCTCCCTTCCTCTCTCTCTCTCTTTCTCTCCCTTGGCTGATGAAGGCTGGCCTTTGTGCCGCTTTGGCATGACTAAAGTTGAGGAGGCTTTCTCCTAATTTTCTACAAGCGTTTCCATTAAAACAGTTGAGTGTTTCTTGGTACATTTTGTAGCCACCCATTTCGAGCACAGCAAGATGAAAAGAACTGGGTCTGTGTGAACTTTCGTTTTCTGACCTCATTTTCCTCTTTTGTTTGAGGAGGGCTGTGTTTTCTTGGCATCTGTGACTTGCAGGAGACTCTGTGCCCAATTTTCAGAGGATATGGCCAGTTGGACAGCCTGGTCTATAGCTGTAATCAATATAGCCAGGCCTCCAAAAGCCAAAAATAGCTTAAAAGAAGCTGTCCTGGAGGGAGGATGTGTGCTCCCATCCCCTCCACCAGGCCTAGGATCATCCCTCGGCTTTATTTGGAGTTCCAAAGGTACATTGGGATGAAAGTCCAAAGAGAAGGGCAGATCATAGTATTAAAAATGGAACATCTGATGGAGAGGGCTCTCCCCAGGCTCTGTTCTTACTGAAAAACCTCACTTATATCATCCCTGAAGGCTGGATGTACAACTCCCCCCTCGCCTTGCCACCATGGAATCTGATCATACACATTTCAAAATTCCAGAGTCTAGAAGGAGTTCTCGATGGTTCTTGCCATGGCCCACAGCCTAGCTGGTTGAATGCAGAAGGAGGATTCTAACTAGAAGCTAGAGTATTTGAACTAAAGATCCATCTTCTGCTATGAGAAAGATAAATTTCTACATGGAGATTGAAAGGTGGACCAGATTATATCTCCCAACTTCTTTGAACTTAAAGATGTTGAGACTCCCTTATGGATATTTCTTTGGAGGATTCTGCCTTCTTGGCCCTTAATCCCAACTTGAATAGACAGCAGTGGATGCTCTCAATTTGTTTTTCTTTTAGATAATCCCACATCTGTTTGTAATTAGGAAGGGCGCCAAGACTGACCCCTAGCCAGTCATTTCCCATAACAGGCAACCTTGCAAAGACATCAGTAACCTTCAGACAGTGGTGAACAGTGCTGAGATCCAGGCTGCTGGTCCTCAGAGCATGTGTGAATAAGGGTGGGGTGCAGGGGGATGAAGAGATGACAAGAGGGGAGAAGAAAAGAAAAGGCAAGAGAGGAGGGCACAGAGAGAGACAGGAAATGAGACGGGGAACACGCTGCATCACATCCCAAATAGCAAAGGTCAGGAGATGGAATAAGAAAAGAAGAATGGGCTGATGGGAGTAAGCGAGGGAGAAAGAACAAGGAGCTTAAGACAAGCCAAAAGTAAACAGTCAGTTCTGGCTCTTTAAAGGGAATCAAGGCAGGGCCAGGGGGTTCCCCAGCCACACTCTGCCACCTGTTGTGTCCATTCCTAAGTAGAATAAAGGTCACCTCCTTCTGTATTCCTTTTGGAATGACAGGCTTTTTTACTTCAAGGGCCTTATCTCTCTGACAGGGCCCTGGCAGCTGCCTGACAGTGTTTGTGTGATGTGGTCAACATGCAGTTCGATTTCTTGAGACAAAGCGACGAGGACTTAGGAAATTGCAGCTTGTGAGAGCTCAGGCTGGCCTCACATGGACTGTGTGCCATAGCTGCTGGCCAGAGGGACAGCAGAGAGAGGAGAGGGTGGGACAGGAGGGCTAAGCAGCACCTGGTGTGACTCCCACGGGGTCAGGCTGGGGAGCACATCTGTGACTTGGCCTTTTACCCTTAGTCATGCCAAGTCTTGAGTCATAGACCACACCAACTGGCCTCCCTGACTCTGTTCTGCCTGGCCCTATTCCTATGACGGACGTGGGGTGGGGTTAGAATGACCTCCAATACAGTCACACTCCATAGTGTAGGGGGCAGCAGGGGGTGCTGAGAGTGTGGACAGCAGGTGTGTGACAGGGCTGAACATGCCTAAAGCAACCACAGACCGAACCCCGATCTGGACCCCAACTCCACACCAGTCCTCCCACTTCTTGTTTCCAAGAAATATTTCCAGCTGGAAAATCTTAGAAGCTGGAAAAACAAGGATCCCAAGGGGAAAAGTATGAGATGTTCTTAACTAAAGAAGCATAAAATAAAACAAAACATAAATGAAAGTGACAAATGGAGGAGAGAAGCCTGGAGGATTTACAGTTGGACGCTGTTGCTGCAACAGATTCCACGTAACAACTAAAATAACATCGACTGGTCTGAAACCAAGGTGTTTGGGGAGAGGCGCATCTAAAAGCAACATTAAGCAGATGTCTCGCTGAGCCCTCTTGGTCTCCTCCCAGCATGACTCAATGTGTGCTACCTTTTGCCTCATCATCACTTTCGTGTTGCAGCTCAAAGAGGCCCCTCTCAGCAGGCCCCTGGGGGCAAACTCCATGTCCCCACGGACGTCCCAGGATGTCTTGCACAGAACCCACAGGGCCCAACCCACTTGAGGAAGAGGTTCTGTTGAAGTTGCTCTAGCAGACTCAGGGGCGCTACCAGCCTCCCAGACATCTGTAGGACCCAGTGGCCAAAGTTTTGTGGTCATTTCCCATTTAGGACATCACACCAGGACAACTGCCCCTCTCCTGCATTGTAATTCATCCTGAAAAATGCTCATAGAAAGAAGGTGGATTTTGGTGTATCTGTGTTTGCGGGTGAACCCTCTCAACACGCCAGGTCTGTGCCAGCAATGTCAAGTTGTCCAGACAATTATACATGCTGCCTAATGGTTGATAATTACACCATTACTGGGATTGCCAGGAGAAAACAATGATTAAGACCATTTGCAGCCGGCACACACAAATCCTTCCTTTCCCTTCCTGCGCAGGCCTTGCCTTGGCCTTCCTGGTATCCATGGCAACCAAACAGGAAGCTCTACCTTTCATCAAGGCAATTGCAATAATCATCAGGAGATATACATCGTGCTGGGGGTGGGGGCTCAGCCATGTGTACCTCTTAGGAGGAATGACTCAGCTGCAAAGTCACGCTGGATAGAAAAAAAGCTCCCAGGGCTCCAGAGTGAAGGGCTGACCTCCATGTGGATGACAGCCTGACAGTGAACGGAGGAAGCTGCGCTGGGCCTGCGTATTGAGGGGTGGATATTCAGGAGGCAAGGTCTGTGCAACAGGAGCAGGTGCAGGGCCCGTGCTGTCAGTAACAGCAGGCGGGCATCAGCTCCCTCACCTGTTTGCCTTTTCCAACTTGATCTGCCTCGCCCCACGTGGAGCGGAGGCTCACTTCCCAGGAGCAGTGTGAACCCTGCAGCGACAGGGGTGCCGGAAGACAAATCGCTCACAGGAAACCACTCTCAGAGGAGGCGCCAGGTCCTGTGGATGCTTTGTCAGAGATGTGGGGCTGGGAACTAGGGGAAAAGGGCTGCTTGGGTGGGACACAGCGCCACGCTGAATGGGCTGAAATTTGAAGAGGCTGTCTGCTGGCGTGGCCCAAAGCCCAGGCACCGGGAGTGGCTCTCAGAAGGCCAGCTTTGGCCTTCAGGTGGCCTTTTGTCCCTTTCTGGCAGCAAGAATCCTTCCCTGTTTCCTGGTGACAGCTGGAGCTGTGCTAGACTCCTGCTAACCTAACCGATAGGAGGTGCTCATTCCATAGCTGTACACTTACAGGATTTGTCCTAGCCCTGTGCTAAGCTGTTATCACTAAAAGCTGATGTATCAGAACTGTCCTGGGTTTGCATCTGGAAGAAGAGGGCTGCGTTTAGATGCACCTTCCCCCCTTGGGTACCTGGGGGAGGTGACCTGTCCTTCAAGAGCATCCTGGGAGGCCACCAGACTGAGCACAGTGGGGAGCACGGGTGGGCAAGCCCAGGGGAGGTGCTAAGTGGAAGGAGTCACTGCCCTTGCAGAAAGAGGGTGTTCCTGTCCCCAGGAACATGGAGGTGAAGAATTCCTTGGCTCTGAAGGGAAGGGCATCACACCAGGGATGGGGCATAAAGCAAAGCACCTAGGGAGGCCTGCAGCAATGAACACGGAGCAACCCCACCACGGCCAGCCTGAAACGCTACCCTTCTCACTCCAGGCCTCAGTGTGTGCCTTCCTTTTGAGTCTTTTGGTTCATCTTCTGAAAATAGCATCTCCCTGCTGTAGCACCATGCTCTCCCTAGGATTCCAGGACGGGAGCATAGCAGCGCCCACCTGTCCTGCACCCAAGGAGCAGCAAGGCCCAGGAGGCACCTCCCGAATTCACAGGGGAGAGACGCTGTGGCAGGGGCCCTGAGGACACCGCCAGCACCAGCCTATGCATGCCTGCTCTTTGTTTTTCAAGCACGTCAACATAAATCATTTCATGCGGGCCTCATGGAGGCCCCTGGGCAGGGTGGGGCAGGTCCTCCCTGAGCTCCACTTGACACCTGAGATAGCTGCATTCACGGGGGCGAGTGCTAGGACCAGAGCCACCACACAGGCCACAGCAGAAACCCAGACCCTGCTCTGCCTCCAGGCCCACATCATTCCTATGCTTTACCCCCATGGCCCTGGAACAGGCAGCAGCCTGTGCCTCCGAGACCATGCGCTGGGGTGGACCTAGCAGGGCTGTGGCAGGAGAAATGCACAGTGGGAGGACTCGTGTACCTACTTGGCACTGGGGTGGGGCTGGCCTTGCCAGGGCCAGCACTGGAAGGGACTGGGCACTCAGAGCCCTGTGCCTCACCACGTAAGTGTGAAGCTGGTGCCTGGGAACAGCAAGAGCTGGCCCAGATCCTTCGGTTCATAAGCGTGATGATTGGGTGTTCATGTCTTACAATGCATGAGATGTGCCTCCCTCAAACCTTGTTACGACGTGGGCACTACCGTCTGACATGAAAAAAAAAAAAAAAAAAGAGCTGGCCCAACCAGGACTCAGAAGCCACCAGACATGTCTGGGATGTGGATCTTTCTCTAGTCCCTGCCTCTTCAAGTTCCAGCTAAACTTGCCAAGGTCTCTCAGGGACAGGAGGCTCACCAGAGGTGACTAAGGGTCAGACTAATGACCAGCTTCCCCTAACCCATGTTGGGATAGGCAGGAAATGGATGGACCACCAACTTCCAGGAACTGGAACCTATTTCTACCTTAACAAAGGAAACTGAAGAGGAAAAAACTACTGCAGAGTTTACATCTGCCTTGGTTTTTGTCTTGGCAGTAATACTGGGCCTTTGCACTGAGCTACATCTCTGGCCTTTTCTAAGTTATTTTTGCCAGGCTGGGTTTAAACTTGCAACCCTCTTGCCTTAGCTCCCAGAGCACTGGGATTATAGGTACGTACTACCACACCTAGCTCCCACCTGCCTTTTCTATATGGGGGAGGTACATACAAGCCAGCCAGGAAAGAAGCTCTGCTCTTTACAATAACCTGGAGAAGGGTCCCAGACAGGGCTGGGTACTCACCATGATGCCAGTGAGAAGGCAGACACCTTTCCCACAGTATGTGTGGGGCACCATATCCCCGTAACCAATGGAAAGGAATGTGATGGAGATGAGCCACATGGCACCCAGAAAGTTACTGGTTACATCCTGCTGGTCATGGTACCTGCCAAGGGAAAGACAGGAGTTAGCCAGTGCAGCTGCTGCTGCCCCAGAGAGAGGCTGTGGACAAACCTAGAGGGGGAAGGAAGTGAGGGGTCTTGCTGAGGAGGTTACAGCAGGAACGATAGCACATGGAGAGAGCTTCCTTCCTTCCCTTCCCTTTCCCCCTTCCTTCCTTTTCTTTCTTTCTTTCTTTCTTTCTTTCTTTCTTTCTTTCTTTCTTTCTTTCTTTCTTTCTTTCTTTTTCTTTCTCTTTCCTTCCTTCGTTCTTTTCTTCCTACCTTCCTTCCTTCCTATCTTTCTTTCTTTTTATAGTATTAGAGATTGAACCCAGAGCCTTCATACTGGGATTCTTCCCCAGTCTTTTTTTATTTTGAGACCGGGTCTCAGTAAGTCACTAAGTTCTCCAGGCTGAGCTTGAACTTGCGATCCTCTTGCCTCAGCCTCTCAGAGTGCTGGGACTGCAGGTGTGTGGTACCATGTCTGTCTCACACACAGATTCTTTAGAGGATTGGAGGTGACATGGCTGTGCCAATCCAGGACCTGCCTGCAGCTTCCTGTCCTGCCAGGCTCCTGCCACAAGCTGGGTCCCAGAGGGAAAAAGTGTGGTCATGACTTGCCCTGTATCATAAACATCCTTTCAGTGTTGGTAGCATAGCTTTGGATGAAATCCTTCAGTAATGAAATTTAAATTCTTCCTTCTAAGCCAAAAGTCTAAACATATATGGAGGTAATTAATCTGAAGTCACAAGCTCCTTTCCCTCAACAGGGAAACTAAAAAAAAAAAAAAAATCACTGAACACATTTAAGAAAATTGGTGGACCTGAGCCGGCCCCTGCCACAAGTCTGGAGGGAGGCTGACCGAGCTGCCTCAGCGCTGTCCAGAGGGAGCTCCGGGAGCTCCAGAGGCCTGGTCTCCTCTCCCAAGCTGGACAGGGGTGGTGGCTGCCCTGATCTGGCAGGGACCAGAGGGAATCATGTCATCACTGGTTCCTCTGCCTCAATCCTCTTACTCACCTTTCCCCACCTCAGGGTACACCCAAGGGAGGGGCGCCAAGGATGCAGACATCGGCAGTGAGTGGGCAGATGAGGCACTCGGCACCAGAATGGGACAGCAATGACCTCAACCCCAATTAAAAGGGTAGACGGAAAAGGTGCTGCCTAAAGTTCAGCTGCCACCAGTGGGGAGGTACGAAGAGGTACACTCTTCAGGGCACGAGGGTGCCTCCTCTCAGGAGCAAGACTAAGGCCCTTAATTATGTGTGTGCATGTATGGCGTATGTATGTAGGTATGTATGTATGGTGTATGCATGCATATATGTATGTACTTGGTCTTGTTAAATTGCCCAGACTGGCCTCCAGCCCATTATCCTCCTACCTCTGCATGTCCAGTTGCTGGGGTTGATCACAGAGGTGTGCCACCATATCTGGCTTATAGCCCCTTTTTATTGCAATAAGCTCTTTCATTAGTACAATAGTGATGTTCCTTTGGGGATTTGGTACATGCAGGTAACAAATCTTGATCTTTTTTTAATCTCTTCACCCCCCTATACTTTCCCCTCCCTCAGATCCCATTCCCATCTCCAAAAGTCTGCCTGCTTCCTATCATCTCCCTTTTATTCATTCATTTATTTATCTTGTAAAATTCTCATGTAAGAGAAATCATGCAACATTTAACTTCTGAGCTTTGCGTTTCACTAAGCATTAAGTTCCACCCAGGTTCCTGCAGACACGATTCCATTCTTATTTATGGCTAAATAATACTCCATTGTGTATAAATAGGACATTTTCTTTATCCATTTGTCTGTTGGTAGGCACCTAGGCTGTTCCCAGAACTTAGCTATTGTGAATTTCACTGCTACAAACATGTACATGCATCTATCACTATAGTAGGTTGCCTTAATTCTTTGGGGGATATACCCAGGAGAAGCATAGCTGGCCTACTGAAATTGCTATTTTTCGTGTTTTGAGGAATCTCCATACTGATTTCCATAGTGGTCTCCTAGACAGTCCCATGAACAATAGGAAAGTGTTCTTTCCCTCCCACATTCTCCCCAGCATTTGCAATGAACGTTTTCTTATTAGTCTATGTTTGCAGCGCCTGCTGTCCACATTCCTTGTGTGGAGTTGGTGCACAGACCCAATACATCCCAACGTCTTCTTTTCTCCCCTTTCCTTCCTCTCCCTCTCACCTCCTCCATCTCTTTATCCCTTCCTCACTTGAGAAAGATCTAGCTCCCTGGTTCCTGTTATCTATCTTTTATTTTGCTCTTTATTTATACCTCAGGGTGCTCATAGAAAAGCAGCCACACAGTATTTAAGCTTGCGTGTCTAGCTTCTTTCGCTTCACTTTAGGGTTTCAAGGTATGCCCATGCTCCTACGAACGACTCAAGTTTATCTTTCCTTATGGCAGCACTCCATTGTGTGAGAACCACATTTCTCTACTCATTCTTCTGCTGGTGGACATACAGGCTGCTACTGGAATTGTCTGTTATGAGGCGTGCTGCTGTCAACACAGGTATGCGTATGTCACTGTAAACAATGTCTTTAACTGTCATGGTTTGGGGTTTCTGCAAGGCGAACAATATAGTACAGGACACATTTAATAATATGAGCTTATAAGGAATCACCCAAGAATCATACAAGGAGTGCAGGAAATCTGTCCACACACATAAACATTAAAGATTCCAACTGAGGGCCTAGATCCTAATAGCTTGCCATGAGTCCATCTGGAAACCTAGAGCTCTTAACAATGCCTCCCTCAGGTCCTACAGCCCAAGACAAAGTCTCATGCAGGTCCACTTCATGGATAGCTGCTGGAAAGGCTGAAAGGTCAGTGGTGGAAGCTAGGAAGTCTGAAGGATCTGTGCTAGCAGGCTGAGGGATCTGGATTGGAGCTAGGAAGCAATGCTCCAGGTAAGCAGCAGCGTACCCCCAAAAGTACCACAGCCGTCCTCAGCAACAGTGAGGTCCCGAGCTCCTCCAGCAATGAGGAAAGCCAGGTTCCCATCAGGAAAGCCAGTGCAACAAGCTACTTCATGAGGCTGAGCAGTGCACCATCTTCCCCTCCAGAGCCAGGAAGCGATGCTCAAGATGAGGACCCAAGCTTCTCCAAAGTTCATTGGGAGAGCCAGTGTGACAAGGTCCTCCAGCAGGACAGCCCAAGAGAACTAGCAGCATCCAAGAGCTCCAACAGCGTCTCCAAACAGCATCCCTAACAGCGTTCCAGCAGCTTCTCCTGTTCTGCCTTCATGCTCTGGCAACAGTTCTCAGGCGGACCTCCTGCACCCAGCACCATGCCAGTTTAATTCAGCTGGGTGTAGTAAGTGCCCACCTGTTAGAAACCCACTACAAACCTTTTTGGAAAGATACTTAGCGGGGAATGGCTGGGTCAAATGGAATTTCTAGTTTTAGTTTTTTAAGGAATCTCCACACTGATTTCCATACAGGTTGTACGAGTGTACACTCCCACCAACAATGTAAAAGGATCTCTTCTCCCCCCACACCCTCTCCAGTATTCGTTGTTATTTGAGTTCCTGATGATGGCCATTCTTTTCAGAGTAAAATGGAATCTCAGTGTTGCTTTAATTTTCATTTCTCTAGTGACCAGCGATGCTGAGCATTTCTTTACGGCCCTTTCCAAAGAGGTTTCCTGTGGCCTTCGGCTTCTTGTGCCCTTTGCCACGGGGTGCCAGTTTGGAAGTGGACACTGCACCTGCTGGTGCCTTGAGCCTGCGCGCCAAACTTGTAGAACAGTGAAAAATAAACTTCCGTGCTTTATAAGTTCTCTAGTCAGCAGTATTCTGAGACAGCACCACCAGCAAGCCAAGACAGTGCCGCAGAGCAGCGAGCCAGCACTGTGGAGGCAGGCCAAGAGGAGAGGGGCCTGGCAGAGAAAATGCCCTGGCAAGAGCCCAGGCCCACCACAGGACGGCCTGACTGATGCCTGGGGTGCAGGGTTCGGGACAGGGCTCCCTGATAGGAGCGGCTCAGATGACACATAATGGGCTGCGTTTGTCCTGGAAGGTCGCCAATCCTTGAGAAAAGCTCCAGCTCCTGGTTGACCTTGGGAGGCCCCTGAGTGGGGAGGTTGAGGCAGGGCTGAATAGAGCAGAAAGCAGTTCAGGACCTTCCTTTACAGAATGTGCTTCCCGGGATGTGACACGAACCCACACGTGTGGCGTGCTTTGAACAGGCCTGGCACTCAGGCCCTCAGGAGGTGCCAGCAACTCTCATCAGTGTTCGCATGCCCCTCAGGGTGCCACTTTCCTTCTTTGTCCCTAGGGTAGGTGGGCAGGGACAGCTACAGTGTGTGTTCCTGGAGATGGGGCTGCTGGGAGAGGAGGTGGGCACCACTTATTGGGAAACACCAGCAATGCCACATGATGGATCCTCGCTACCAGGCGCCTATTGTGGGGCTGACCTTTCAAGTACAAACACTCTAATTCTCAGCATGTCTTTTGAAGTTTGCCATAGGAAGTCCAGAGGGGCTCAGTGACTTGGCCAAGGACATGCAGGAAGTAGCCAAAGCAACATCCGGATTGCTTTCACTGGTCCACTAGCATTAGAGAAGCAGGAGTGACTGGTGTGCATCTTGGGGAAGGATGTGGAAGTTTCAGTGAGAGGAACTGTGATAATTCAATCTCAGGTATCCTCCCAAAGGCTCAAGTGTTCAGAGGCCCGACCTTTGGGAGGCGATCAGATTATGAAGCACCGAACTCATTATTGGATTCATCCACTGGTGAGATCCTGTCTGAACATGCTGTTAGGAGTTGGCCTGGTTGGAGGTGGTTGCTGGGGGTGTGAGCATGGGTGTTTTTGTCTCTGGGCTCTTCCTTCACTCTGGCTTTTCTTGCCCTCCCTGCTCCTGGGCTGCCACACTTGAGCCACTGTCCTCAGCTGCACCCTTCCGCCATGCTTTCGGCCTGGGAGTTGGCTACATAGACTGAAACCTCTGACACAATGATCCAACATAAAACCTTTCTCCTTTAAGTTGTATTTGT